ACAATATTAATATGGGTGTGGGACTGGATACAATTAAAAAATAGGAGATTATTATGATTGGAAGGCTATGATATGCAGATTGGGTGGCACGCCATATTATGGGATGAGAAATGTAAGATTCACCAGTACTTCCGGAGGCATATTAGACGAGCGTTAATAGATGTGTGGGTTAAAATCAGGCGACAAAATTATAGGCAAATTCCTAACTGGATTTCAACATTGGAAATGCACATACATCCAATGTTCATACAACTAGGGAAAGTAATAACGTATAAAAACATATTAGACGAGAGGAGAATTGAAATCAAGGGAAAATCTTCAGGATGAAGGAATAGAACTTGGAATGGTGGGCTTATCTCCAATTGCAATCAAGATATAGGAAAGATAAGACAGATTGGGGTATAAAAACAGAGTCGACAGAGTTAGATAAAATATTACTAGGAACCAAAGATAAAATGATTAAAAGAATATATCACTATCTTCTAGACCAGGCAATGTATGAAGAGCAGGTCAAGGAAACTATGTTAATGTGGAATAGGGATTTTGGCTTTAATATTGATCTGCATATCTGGCAAGAATTGTGGGGAAAAAACAGGAAACTTACCTTAGCTACTTCTTATAAGGAAAATCTTTATAAAATGTTTTACAGATGGCATTTCCCACCCACAAGGTTAGCCAAAATGGGCCCAAATCTTTCACCTATGTGTTGGAAATGTAAAATAGCAATAGGGACCTATTACCACATGTGGTAGGAATGTCCTAAAGCCTGTGATTATTGGAATAGGATAAGAAAATGGTTGAAAGAAATATTAATGTTGGAGATAGAGCTAAAACCTGAACTCTTTCTATTGGGCATAACCACAGATAAATATGAAAAGGGAACAGTCTACTTGATGTTGCACATCTTGACCGCTGCTAGATTGGCGTTTGCACAAAAATGGAAGAACAAAGAAAGTCCCACAGATGAAGAGATACTGCATAAGATACTATCTTGTGATGAAATGGACAGGATTACGATGGAATTGAAAGATAAAAGCGGATCAGAATATTTTGAAATCTGGGATAAATTGTACTATTGGTGGGAATCGAGGGTTATAGATTAGCGATTGGAAATATATATATTCTTAGGTTAGCAAATAGAGAAAATGTATTATAAATGTATAAGTATTGTATAATAAGTTTATATATATTTATAGAGACAAAGAATGGAATGTAAGAGGAGAAATAATTTGATAGAAATGTTTAAACTGGAATGTTAGTCACGTCCAATGTTTTCTTTCTTTTTTAATTGTATTATAAATAAAAAACTTTTTTAAAAAATAAAAAAAATCAGTGGATCCATCATTAAAAGAAATTCTTCCCTAAAGATCTTGTTCACTGCACTGCACCTAACCATTTGGACTTTAAAGGTACATGCCAATGTCTGAAATTGTGCCTGATATTCAAGTGGAACTCTTACAGATATATAATTCTTTTACTTTGCATTAGTTAGCAGTTTAGCTGTTATGTACCAATTTCAACTTCGATTAGGGAGGGTAAAAGTGAAATGAATTAAGTTATTGGAGAAAAGAGAATCCCAAAGTCAAGGATTCTAATGAAAAATGGAAGTGAATAGCCTATGGAGGTTAAAAAAAAAAGGATAGAGCAATGGTTCTCAACCTTTCTAATGCCGTGACCCCATAATACAGTTCCCCATGTTGTGGTGACCCCCAGGGGCGTGGCCAACTGGGTGTGGCCACCAATAAGAGGGAGTAGGACAGCTAGGGAAAAGGGAAAAAAATGGCGGACAGCGTGGTTTGGCGACCCCCGTGAAATGGTCGTTCGACCCCAAATGGGGTCCTGACCCACAGGTTGAAAACCACTGGGATAGAGAAATAAGAAACAACTAAACTGGAACTGTGGAAGAAAGAAAATGAGTTGGCTCTCCAAGAGAGTGAGATTTGAGAGGTGAATTTCTTTACAGAAATATGAAGATACATTTACTGGCATAGACAGAAACAAAACTGAGCAAGTTCACTGTCATACAAAAAGGTGCATTCTTACTTTCTTTCCCCAATTATTTTATACATATATTCCTGTTTTCTGCTTGTTAGCTGCCCAGAGTTATTTGATCAAAATTTACATAATAAAAAACATAATAGACAAAGTGACTTTTTTTTTAAACTGAAACCTGGGTTCAAACAAGTGGCTTTGGAGTCAGAATCACTTTGGTTTTATTCTGTACTTAGTTTCTTGGACAAATGATTTGCCTTTAAGTTTTGCCACTTCTATATGGGCATTAGTACAAACATTATAGCAACTGTTATGTTAATGCACATGATCTTTTGATAACCATTTTATAATAGCACCCACACTTTTTCAAAGTCTGAAATGTGTTTATAATGCTGCAAGTTATAAGAGAATTTTTAACTACAATAGATTCAGAACAGGTATGAATCTATTGTAGTTGCATAATTGAACTGGGCAGAAAATATTGCTGATAATTTTTTAAAACATCACAAATGCGTGTGTGCATGTATGTACACACACACATCTATCTATCAACTTGGTCTGAATATTCAAAGTCTGAGAGTGCCAAGGAAATAACAAATAATGATATGGGTACAAATACGTCAAGATCTCAGTATTAATAGCTGTGAGTCCCCGGTGACAGAAAACAGAATTGAACCTCTCTGCACATGGATCACTTGCTTTATATATTTAAGTAAAGCACTTCTGTTTAATTTTATGGATTAAATGCTAAGTACTGTCCTAGGTTACTACTGGATGCAGAATTTGATCTCAAAATTTGATCTCTAGCTCTGTTAAGAAACAGCTGTGAGAAATGGTCCTTTGAAAGAAAGCATGTATTGCCATTGTAAATCAGTAACTTTTTAAAATAATCGCGGGATGAAGGAGGTAAGTATAATATGAAAATATTATATTTTAATTATATTTACACACTTGTATAATCATGTAAAGCAGAGTTCCTCAACCTTTCTGGGTTAATGGCCCAGGGGGGAGGGGAAAAGAGACGATGGTCTTGTGGAAGGGGCAGGTGCGTGTGCACCCGCACAAGCATCCATTGCTCATGTGAGTGGAGTAGAGAGCACAAGAGAGGCCCCAAGCACTTGTGCAAGTGTGGTCCTGAGTGCCTGCCACGCTCACATAAGACCCCGAGCTCTCGTGCGAGGCCCAAAATGCTCACAAGTGAGGCCACTTGGACAAACAAAGTCCTTGAGTGCTTGCATGGGAAGCCCTGACCACTTGTGTGAGGCCACAAGCACCTGCAATGCTCATGTGAGTAGGGCTGTGCGCATGCATGAACACACACCAGCCAGCCAGTCATGCAATCTGGTTGCAAATAGGCCACAGACCGGTAGTAGGCTGTGACCCACAGGTTGGGGACCCCTGATGTAAAGAAGCAGGGAGTAGCTTATTGTTACTGACTAGGAAATTCTAATGACATCAATTATCTGCATCAAGAGAGGCTCTGCTATTGTCAGCCTCCCTACCGGATTTCGCACGAAGAACACACCGATGAGATTCTTGAGTGGAATCAGCTCCGGTTTACTTCAGAGAATGCAATGACGGTTAACACAGACAAGTGGTGCACTAGCTCTGTGCTATACAAAGTTTGCGCTGGGAGCAACTGCCTCCCAGCGTTATTTAAGTACACTTACACTTTTACCCCACCCTAGATGATTATGGACCACACCTTCACCACACCCGTGCTCATTACCCTACACCTGCACCAGCCCCGTCTCCACCCTCCTGGCCTCCAATCAGCGTTTAAATCACTCTTCGAAGCAATCTTCTTCCTGACACCCTGTGTTAGTATTGCGATCCGTGGTTCGCCTTCCATCAGCTGACTTCAATTCTACCGCTGATCAGCTGTTCGACGGGATTGAGGTGGATCTGCGCGTGTGTGACAGTCCTTCTGCCCCGTAGTACTGCTGAGGCTCCGTAATGTTTGTTTGTGGGAACGCTGCGCCGCCTAACATTCTTCCCTCTTGGCCAGTAGGTTGGTTCCCCCCCTGCTCGTGTGTCAAGCCCGGGAGGGCTTGACAGCTATATTTTTCTAGTTTATGGACTAACAAACCTGCTCCACCTTTGCCTCCCAAATTACCAATAACCATGTTTTTCACTTTTTTTAACATCAAACAGCAGAAGCTTGAAATTTTCATAACCTCATCAGCCACCACTCATCTTTCATAATTATTCATCTCCATCCAGTATTTGCTATTTTCCTCTCTCCTTATAACTGTTTTTGGATAATCAGATAATTTTTAAAAGTTCTAAAATACAGGGAGAGAAAAATATATTTTTGATTGTCTACATTATCATTGCTAATATTTTCAAAAATAATAGAGAGTACTTCCTGACCTCTCATTCTATTTTGATCAACAGTATATATGTGATTTTCTAATATCACAATATAAATGGACTTGTCCATGTGTGCACGTATGTGTACACAGCACAGTATAACAGAGTTTCTCAATAAAAGTAAAACAAAATCTGGCCCATTTTTTTTTCTTTTCAACTGATGACACAAAATATATTCTCACAATTTGTGCAACTCCTTGCTATTAATATTTGGTCAGTTTGAGCATCCCATAACATGTGAGACATTTTATCTTACCAGGATTAAAAACCAACAGCCAACACTTCCCATCTCCCTACATATCCAGAGGTGGGAAGCAGGCAGAAAGAGCATCTTATTCTAGCCACAAGTTTTAAGTTCACCAAGGGGAATTCTCCTTCAGCCAGAGAGTGAGATTTTTATTGAAGTAAAGAAGAGAAAGGATGCAAAATGGATCTGTTACCTTTCCCATAGAAAAGAGCAATCGATAGGCCTGCCCCGATGGCTATGGTGGTGGCAGTCGCCGGCTACCCTGTTCTGATCTACCTTTCCTGACCCGAGCTGTCTTACCCCCGCCGCTGCCTCCCCCCATCCTTCCCCATTCCTGCTTTGCCCAGTGAAGTGGCTGTCAGGCCAAGCCTCTTGCCTGCTCACTCACCGAGTGGAGGTGCCCTTTCTCACATCGCACATCATGCACTTGAAGGCCTCGGCGCTGTTCCGGAAGGTGCACACACTGCAGTCCCAATAGCCCTCGTCGGAGGAGGGTTTCTGTTGCCGCTTCGGCCTACCCAAAAAAGCGGCGGGGCGGGGGAGGGAGAAGAAGAGGAGAGGGAGGACGAGGAAAAACGGAAGGAAATTTAAGACACAAAACAAGGCATCGCTGCGGCCGCCCTTTGCCCCCCTCCCTGCTTCCCTTCAGGGCCTCGCTTCGCCTCGGCCGCCGCTTCCAACCAACTACCTTATCTCCTCCTCCTCCTCATCACCATCGCTTCTGCTACGTTGGGGGGCGCCAAAGACTTTGGCAGCGGAAGACGGGGGGAGGGAGAGAGGAAAGAAGTGGGGAAGCCGGCCTCGCAGCCCCGCCGCCTCTGCCTGCCGTTTACTGACCGGCCTGTCCGTGGAGGTCCTGTCTGCCTACCTGTCTGAGAGCTTGCCCTCCCGCTCGCCTTTCCGCCCTCCTCACCTTGTGGGGCTCTTCTTGTCTCCCATGCCGACTACAGACGCGTCTCTAGACCGGCGCGGCCCTTTGTGTATTTGTTAATAAGGAAGAGTGACCGAAGACTCAGAGAGGCGGGAGCTGGCACTCAGGCGGAGGGACTTAGTGAAGCAGCAGCAGGAGGAGGAGGAGCCGCTGCAACCACTGTTGCTGCGGCGAACAGCTATCGCCTGCCGCCTGCTCCCAAGCGCGGCCACCGCCACCTCCAGATGTCGAGGAAAATCCTGCTGCTGCCGCCCCCTTGCTCAACCCGACCTTGTGCTCCCCCTTTCTTCTCACTCACGTGTTCCTCCCATCGCCAACCAGCGTCAGCCCACAGCCAAGCCGAGGCGTCCCAGACGGCGGCCGGGGGCAAAGAGGAACGGTTTTTGCCTTGCTCAGGCGGTGATGAAAAGGAGTCTTTCTGGGGCCTGAAGCACCGCCGCCGGTTTTCCGTTTTGCGCAAAGACGCGCTCGCCTTGCTGGAGATAGGTCTCTCCCCCTATCGTGAAGCCGTATTCTTCCCTAGGTCAAGCCTTTTAGCGAACGGTTGCCCTGATTTCCAACTTAAACACAGTCGCTCATTTGGGCTAACGTCTCCCAGCATGCCCACGCTGTCAACCCAAAATCATACCGTTGGATGCCATATAAATCCGGAGTGACTCTGTTCCACGTTTATACCGGTAAGGACTACAATGTTGACTTCAGCTGTTTATGTAATTGGGTCCCCGAATGCCTGAAATTATCTCCCTCCAAGACATGTACGCGCATCCCGCTCTTGTACAGCTGTCAGATCTCAGCTAAGACAGGATCAACTTGAGTGAAGGATTATTTAACAATACAAACAACGAAATAGGATTGTGGTGAAGTAACTGATCTGCCTTAAGCAATTGTTATCATGTAAGTAAGGGGAGTACATCTCATCCCTTTCCATATTCCTTGAAGAAATCACAGAACGTAAAATGTAATATCGGCAGATATACCATTATTATTTAGAATTATTACCGAAAGTAATGGTTGTAGCATCAGTTCACTATACTTAACCATTTCAATTTTTAGTAGATACATTATTTTAATATTTTCCTGGATCAATTATGGATTCTTCCACATTTGCCATTAACCATGGCATGAACATAGTTCATGGCATGTGATTTTTTTTACCTCATGACGTCTTTGTCTCATCCCCAGGCCTATCTAAGGCAGTTTTAAATTAGCCTTTAATCTATATCAATGTTTTCCCTCTTCAATTGTGTTATGGATACGATCTGTCATGCTTCACCAATCTTTTGGTTACAGATGCAGCCAGGGATTAGAATCTGCTGCATTCCTATTGGTCACTTTAGGCTACAAATATGTATTTCCCCCCCTCCCCGCTTCAGACACTAGGCCAGGGGTCGGCAACCTAAAAAGGTGAAAGAGCCACTTGGACCCGTTTCCCTCACAAAAAAAAAAACCCCTGGGAGCCGCAAAATGTGCACATGCGCATGCATGCACACTCACGTAACGGAGCTTGATTGAAGAGGAGCCTAAGGCGACACAGGCACTGGCCTTGCCCGCGTCCAGCTCTGGTATGGACAGCTCTGCCATCCTGGCTTCTCCTCCCCTCAGAAAAGACTGCTCTCTCCCCTTTGCTGAAGTGGCGAGCGGGGGGGCTTGCCTTGGGCACGGCAGGGCTGCTGGAGGCTGAGGCCCCCAAAGGCGCGGACCAGGCTATCTTCCATAGCGGCAAGAAGGCGACCGCGGGAGCAACAGCCTGCTCATCTCCCACGGCGGTAACTGCGCAGCCATCTGGTGGTGTTTACACGGCCTTCCACGTGACTAAGATAGGCAGTGCTGCCCCGCTCCGCCCCGCCCTAGTTTCCCCAGAGCAGAATTGGGACCGCGCCAAAGGAGCCAGCTGAAAGTGGTGCCTTGGACTACCCCTCCGAGGACGGCACTTTGGAGGAAGGCCGGAGCGTGACACCCTTGCCAGAGAACTAGTCAGCCCCACTAACTAACATGTGAACCCCACGCTAAGAACAGCCCTGCATAAACTAAGCTCAATCGGACAGGAAAGTTCCAATCTGATGGAGGCTCCTGCAAAGTCAGCTCTGTCATTAGGATCACGCAGTTCAGTGGGCTTCGCCCTCCCCCCCAAACTATTAATTCAAAACCAGGCAGTGCTTGGCTTGCAATCGGTTGCACAAAACAGATGGATAGGATTGCAGCCAACTCTGGTCTCCACCCAGGCGGGCGGGAGAAACCCTGAAACCTTTTGCGTTCCTTTGCAAAGAGAAGATGCCGGTGGTGCATGGCCCGGGGGGGGAAAGACAGCTCCAGAGGGAGGCAGCCATGCAACCAGAAGCCGGCGGTCCCAGCGGAGCAGCATGGGAGACCTACTGGTTGGTGTGGGAGACTCCAGCATTTCCAGTGAGCAAGGCCTGGCGTCTGCAGCCCAGTTCCGCACCCTGACGACCAGCTGGACCAGCTTTCACTTCTTTTTTGCAAATGAACACAAAAGGTTTCGGGGTTTGGCTCACCGCTTAGTTCGTGCTGCCCAGTGTCTGCCTGCCTGCCTGTTTGCAGGCCTCCGTGCTCCTTCCCCGAAGCATGCAATTGCTCAGAGCCCGTCCCAAAAGGTGCTGTTTCTCTGGCAGGAGCCGAGTTTGCAAGCCTCGTTGGCAAGCTGAGAAAACCGAAGGTCCGGAGGATTCCCTCCTGCTGCGGAGCTGCAGTGCCTGGCCCTGGGCTGATAGGGGAGGGGGTGGGGGGTATCCAGGGCCTAAAAAGTCCTCTAGGACAGGCTCGGGGCCAGCCCTCTTTCCCCGGCCACAGGAGAAGGGAAGGCGCAGGCTCTCCACCCGGGCGGGCAGGCGAGAAAAACCCCGAAAGCAGGAGGGAATCCTCCGGACCTTCAGTTTTCTCGGCTTGCCAATGACGCTTGCAAACTCGGCTCCTGCCAGGGAAACAGCACCTTTTGGGATGGGCTCTGAGCAATTGCATGCTTTGGGGAAGGAGCTTCCCTGGCAGGAGCCGAGTTTGCAAGCCTCGTTGGCAAGCCGAGAAAAACGAAGGTCCGGAGGATTCCCTCCTGCTTTCGGGGTTTTTCTCACCTGCCCGCCCGGGTGGAGAGCCTGTGCCTTCCCTTCTCCTGAGGCCAGGGAAAGAGGACCGGCCCCGAGCCCGTCCTGGAGGACTTTTTAGGCCCTGGATACCCCCCCACCCCCTCCCCTGGTCGTCGGGGTGCAGAACCACCAAGCCTTACTCACTGGCAACGCTGAAGCTTCCCACGCCGACCGATAGGTCTTCCATGCCGCTCCACTCAGACCACCAGCTTCTCGCTACAGGGCTGTCTCCCTCCGGAGCTGTCTCCCCCCCCCATCTATGTCGAGCCCAGGGCGAACAGTGTCCCAGAAACCAAATAAGTTGAACCAATCAATTCAAACTTCTTTCGTGAGAAGCTTGAATTGATTGGTTCAACTTTTTTAGTCTTTTTTTTTGGCACTGCACGTGGCTGGGAGCCGCAGGAGACGGCTGAAAGAGCTGCATGCGGCTCCGGAGCCGCGGGTTGCCGACCCGTGCACTAGGCCACTGATGGCAACCTTTTAGAGACCGAGTGCCCAAACTGCAACCCAAAACCCACTTATGAATCGTCAGGTGCTGCGTGGACATGGCCCATTGAGTGGGTGTGGCCCATTGGATGGGCATAGCCCATTGGGTGGGCATGGCTGCAGTAGTAACGGCAGACTGGGTGGGACTAAAAAGTTCAATCAATCAATTCCAACTTTGCAAGATCTTTTTTTCCCCCGCGAGAAGTTGAAATTGATTGATTGATTAAAGTTGAAATTGATTGATTGATTTTTTTGCACAGGGCGGTGGAGGCCTAAAACGAAAAGATTTTATAAAACCCAGCTGAAGGCTTAGGACTGGGACGACGGTGCGTGTGGCCACAGAGAGGGCTCTGCGTGCCACCAGTGACACGTGTGCCATAGGTTCACCACTACGGCACTAGGCACTGTCCCTGGCCATTTTAACTTGAACTGAAGGAATGACCAGACACCTGTTTTTTACAGAAACATATATATGTATAAATGCCTGGCCAATAGTGATGGATGGACAAGATATGTTGGCAGATGAGGGCAAGTTTTTCCGGGGGGGGGAGGGAAAGAGAGATGGGTAATTTTGGATAAAATATTTATTTCAGGACCCATATCTCATATTTTGAGCTAGGCATTCTGGTAGCTGGGCGCCTTGGGCTCAGATTGATATTTTGAATGCCAGATTTATTTATAATAAAACTAATCACATCCACAAATAAATTGTGGACAAGAGAGCAGTGCTGACATGTATCACCAAAACCTGACTGGACAACGAATACAAGGTTTCTCTCAATATGATCTGTCTGGTTGAGTTACAGGTCATTCACAACCTGAAAGCAGTGAGGTGGAAGGCAATTGTGCATTGCAAGACCTTGTTTGTTGTGAGGAATATTGTTTCACAGGTCCTAGCAATATAGCAATATCCTTTTCTGAATTACAGCACTTGAATTTGGAGAGTGCGAGGATGGATTTGACTAGATTGCTAGTTCTGATTCATTTTAACCTTTTTTGGAGTCAGAAGTAATTTGAGAATACATGTTCATCATCGGTGAGATTCAGCTGGTTCATACCACTTCGGCAGAACCAGTAGCTAATTTTTTGTTGCCCAGGCCCAGAATGGACTTCCGGAAGCAGCATCCACACAGAGAACCGGTTGTTCACATATTTGAATCCCACCACAGGTCATCATAACTATGGGTTGTTTTAAACCATCATGACCCCAGTCTGGCTTTCACCTAGTCTTGGAGGGCATTTTCATTACTTCCTGATGATGGACAGATTACTACCTCCTTGCCTTTGGTGCCTGATAAATCCAGAGACTTCAAATTTATAGAAGCTATGGGAGAGGTCTGAAGTGACACTGATGGAAATGAAAATGAATATACTGGACAAGAATACAAACTTAAATTTTAGCCTATTAGGGCAATGATGTATAAATATGTGTCTATAATATCAGACAGTTGCCTTATTAAGAGTATCTTGAGCCTTTTACGGAAGAATAGTTAAGAGACAATTGGTGGTAAATTGCAATTATCTGGCTGAACTTTTGTGACAGAATCATTTGTACTATGAATAGAATGAAAAGACATAATGCTCTGTAATGTTTCTTGGGAGGTTTTTAAGGTTATAGTTCTTGAATCAGCTTTGTCACATGTAGGCAAGACAGTCTGGGAGGTGATGGGAAATTGGATTCAGGTGA